AAAAGTGGTGCCAAACTGCATTGATTCTACAATGTAGATGCACCCTTACCTACATAGCAGAAGTATTAGTAAATTGTGAATATGTGTAATAGTACACTGGGGAAAGATTTGTGATACTGCACTGGTGTTCCCTATGTCCTGATAAACAACAGGACTGATGTGCCTGGGTCTACATGATGTGCCTGGGTCTAGCATGCATCTGGCAGTTTGCTGGCTCCCTCGTGTAGAAATGTAACAGCATGGATTACAAAACTGCCTAATTCTAATTCCTGTGGACATAACTCCACTTATGAAATTGCAAGTCCTTGTACCATAAAAAAGAATGGACAACCAATGAGTTACAGTCATAGCCTAATGAAAAACACATGGTAAATATATTCTCTAATTCGATTCCGTAATTCTGTCTTGCTAAACATTTTGAACACCTAGAAAAGGAACTTAAATGGATCGCTCCTTTATCCACAATCCTATACTTGCCTACCGAGGAGTCTGTTTCCGTGAGTTCAATATGACTTGAGGGATATGTTAAATTAGAGGTGGGAAATGTACTGGAGAAGTGGAGGGTTTGCCTTTTCTGTTAGACAATAACATTACATTAAAAAAATACAGAGGTTTAAAAATATTAATATTTTTGGCCAAGGTCAGAACCAAAATTGCCCCAATTACTAGTGATTTTGCATGATTGGGAAAATTGGATCAAAAACTGCCACAAAACATATTATCTCTGATAATGCTGAGGGAAATTTACTTTCTGAGGAAACCAAGGGTAGATCCTAACCCCCCTCAAATGATCTGACCAATTTGGACAACCAATTAAATGGATTTAATAACCTTCTCTGCCAATGTTTAGCCCTCCCATTAAAAAGAGTTTCAAGGTGCTTGCTTCTTCTGGTATTCTTGAGTATCCTTGTGATGGCTCAACACAGAAAATGTTTTCTTGAAGAAGGACTGAATCCTATCAGAGTTCAAATTTCTTTTTCTACATCTGGAGCAACATCAACATGAACAAGACATGTACATGCATACACTAATAGCTTATGGTTTCTAGCAGTAAGTACACTGCAAGACATTTTGCTTTGGAACGTGAGATGATTGATATGGATAAATAGGTTTGGTATATAATACAGAAGCTGAAAAGAAGGGATAAAGGAAAGGTTAATCACATTCTTCCAGCATGCCACTTCTTTGATCAGATTTCATCTTTTCAATCCCACTTCACAACAGTAAAGACATGTGGGCTAATATTTATAAACTCACTTATCTAACCCACTTATTTTCAATCTCTGTGAACATATTTTTGGAAGGGAAGAGGCATTACCCTGAGCGTTCATCTAAAACAGGTGACTGAAATTCACTAAGGCAGTTACGAATGTCTAAACATATTAGTTACTTAGCTACAATCCCATCCATTTTCACTTACCAGGCAGCAGCTGCTGCAAGTGACAAGGTCTGCACCACTATTGATCAGGAGGAGGCAGATGAGTGATGTCTCCAACCCTCCTGTGAGTCATATCTGGTGCTCCAACCAGAAGCAAGGTTCCTGCCATAATTCTCCCTATCACTGCAGATTGTTTGTGAAAAGGGGACTAAAATATCAGCTAGCTGCTTCCCAATACCCAGGGAAAAGACCCCCACTGCTCACAGTGGCTGCTGCCTGGAAAGAGAATTGGGGGACTTTCATGGTCCCTCCCTACACATACTAGCAAAAGGGATGGTAAACACAAACCAGTTATAAATATGTAACTCTAGATTAATTATTCATAACTATCCTAGTAATTTCCAACCAATATTATTAAGCAAAACCTATTCATTTTCAAAATCGCAATACTCCTCAACCTTATCCCAACAAGACAGTCCACACATTCCATATAATCGCCTATGACAGCTTCACAGGCTCCAAAAATTGTTTCTGGCATCTTGGATCTGGGGGTGGGGAGAGTTGAAACTCTACTTATTTAGCAGTGTGCAGTCTGACCTTGTAATGGGAATATAGAAAGCTGGAAAACTTTATGGTTTTGTGAATGCTGGAATGGGAGGACCCATAGATCAAAGATTCTCGGGACATATAGTTTGGAAGACACACATTGTGACTATTAACACCTCCAATTTCTGGTGCCTGGGACAGTGTCATTGCAATATTCCAGATGCTGGTGGAACTGAAACTTTGGAATGGGTTCAGTAATAATATGGAGGAAAGAACATTTTGCATTAGCTGAGCCGATTCCAGATTCTAAGGCATCTCCCCACATCACAATATTAATGTGAAGAAACCTGGAAACTATTACAGTAACTATCTCTGAATATTTAGCACTGAATGTAGATTGTCAGATATACTCATTAATTGTCTTATACGTGCATGATTAATTACAAAGTATTTAACTTGAATGTTTAAAAATGTCACAGATAGAAGGGAAACTAGGTGATCCATGTAGGTGTCCAGCAGTGAGTAATGTGTTGTCTTCCAGATGTTGCTGGGCTATGACTACCATCATGTTCAACAAGCAAAGTCAAACATTAGGGATTGTTGGTGTTACAATACAGTAACACCCAGAGAGATGCCTTTTTCCCATCCCTGATATAAAAGTTCAGTTTCTAATTCTGAAGTTGATGGTTGTCTAGGGGGTGCCCTTTACTCAGGAAATCATCAGCTCTAGCCTAAGAATTAAATCAGCAAATCAAATGAAAAGAGGCTGCTCTGATATCTATAGATACAGTGTAATCAGTAAGCGCTACACTTGCTTTCCAGGGGACTTACTACCTCCCTGATATATGGGGATTGTTAGCAATGCGTAAAACAAAATGCCACGTTTGTTGAGGGCCTAACCGACAGAACATGTTTAAAGGAGCTTGGTGCTAGCATTCATTAACACCACCTTTAAATGCATTGACACTGAAAGATGACTCCCAAGACTGAATCTTGAAAACCAGCACCTACAACGTGTCAAACATGTATTGCAACAAGTCATATTTAATCCTGCCCTCACTCTGTTTCACTGAAGCATGGCAATGCAATTTTCTGAAAGAAATGGAGATGTTTACAGCACTGTTAAAACAGCCTTGGCCATTTACAAGTAAGTCTTTTATTACACCTCTGACTCCATGCCCCCTTAGGCCCAAACATCACATAACATCTTCTGTGTAACTAGGCAGGCCGGTTTCAACAAACGTAGCCATATGGTGGCTGGGCTTGTGATGTTTCTCTGATGTGTTTCTGCTCTGAATCAAATCTGTAGGATTTAGACAAAGAGCAAGTTAACGGGCCAGACCAGAGAAAAAACAGATGGAGACCTGGACCGAGTTGCAGGTGGGCACTCAACCAGCCAGCAGGTCCAGAGCTAAATCAATAAAAGAAGTGTGTAAATTGCTGTAGGGTATAGATGCTCAGCATTACAAACTCTTTTTACTAATGCTGACATGACCCGGTAAATCAAAAGGGCCTCTACTTTCTCTTTCCAACAATTAAAAATGCAGAGAAAGTAAATGGATGCTTCTGCAGGGGCTCCTAGTCCTCCACACACAGCTGGCAAGAACTAATGCATGCCCAGGAAGCAAATGAGACTTGCAATAGTCCTGAAAAGTGATAGGAAAAATAACGGCTGCTAGCCTGAAGGGCTCAGCATAGTATAGATGTCTGCAAATAAAACAACACTATGCTGAACCACTTACCACCTGTAAGACCTATCACAGGGTGCATCTGCACTATGGAATTAATGAAGCTTGATACTACTTTAACTGCCATGGCTCAATACTGTGGAATTCTGGGATTTACAGTCTGGCAAGGCATCAGCACTTTTTGGCAAAACTATAAATCCCATGATTCCACGGCCCTGGGGTTATGGCGGTTAAAGTGGTGTCAAAATGAATTCCACGTTGCAGGTGTACCCACAGAGTCACTAAAGCCCCTCATTAGACCCCTTCATGTCTAAGGGAGAGCAGGGGAGGAGGAGAAGGAATGCCAAAGCATCTATCTCCCTGTCACCAGATGAAAGGTGATTAACATTAGCTCCTGAGGTCTTCAAGGACCCTTGAGGTCTTAGAAAGAGCTGATTCCGTGGCTTTTGCAGAGCCAGATGCTTCTGCAGCTTTCAGATAGCCACACATGCCTGCAATTTCTGCCCAACCTCCATTCTCCTCCAGGCACAAATAACTCACAGACTTTAAGGTAGGTTGGGAAGGGACATTTTTCACTGTGCAGCTAGCAAAAACAAACATGTGTTGGTACAAGGAGTAAATATGCAAATAACAGAATTCCAGCCAATGCATATTACCAATCAGACTACTCAATTTGATTACAATACTATTTTGATGAGAATGACAAGGATAAGATTATGAATAAGATGATCATTTGAAAAAACAATGTATTTGCTGAATGCATACCCTGTTCTTTGATTCCTGTATCTTTCTATGAGGCTTGCAGCTATTTTGTTACTCAAATGCTGCAGCATCAGCTGTTCTTTGTCCACTCTTCTGCTCCTGTATCAGCATAAATCCTGTCAAGGCTGCCCACAAAGAGCACCCATAGCTACCACTTTTGTTTAAGGCAGCCTTCCTGGAATTCCTGACATGAGCACTCCCCACCTGGAAACCTTTCACAGGAAAAAGAAAAGCTGCTTGGAGCTGGCAGCCTTTTTTCCTGCTGATGTTACCCACCATCTTTATGAATTGTGATAGAAGTAGAGTGCACCAGCAGCATTCCAGCTCCAGGATCAGTCAAGTTATTTTGGTCCACGAAGCAGACAAACCTCTAAATTGAATAAATTCACTATTTGCTTCTTTTTCATGGCTACCCCATTCTGTCTAGTAGTAAGGCCAGCCCTGAATGTGTTGCTCAATCGCTGTCCTTACATGTTTTTTTTAATTAAAAAGTTTAATTACTTCCATGTCAGAGTCCAAGAAACCACTGAGTACAATTCAATACCAGACTCCATTTATGAACCATAAACCATTACTTCCCCCACATCTGCCCCCAATCCACTTCCTATAAGAGAGGCTTCAATTACCTTTTCGTTTTTTCTCTCTTCTGCTTTGCAGGCTGTGTTGGTTGGACTGCAAGTGACCAGGCTACTGATGGGGCCATTTCCTACTTCTCCATTCAGATTGACTGCAGTGACATTGGGAGGAGTGATGGCTGCTGCTGCTGATGTGAGAGGAATTATGGGCCTGGCTCCAGGGATGACATGAACAGGGGAGTGGTGGATGTGTTGAGGAGATACTACAGAGTGTGGCCTGACTACGGTTGTTGGGAGGCGTGATGGGGAATTTTGTGTTCTCAATGGTGAGACAGTAGCTGTAGGCCGGTCCTGTGCTTGCACTGAAGGGTGCACTACTAAAAGCAAAATGGAGAGAGAAAGAGAGAGAAGAAAAATTACTAATCACAAATACTGTCAAAATAGCAAAAGGTATACAACATCCCTTATCCATAATTCAGAAATCTGAAATACTTTGAAATTATCCACATGGGTCGCTGAGAGGGTGACGCCTTTGCTGTCTGATGGTTCAACATATACAAACTTTGCTTCATGCATAAAATGATTGTGGGATGCTGGGATGTGGGCTTCTGAGGATACAAGGCTCTCACATGGGTGTGCACTTGTAGCCTGTGGATCCAAAAAAGTTGCATACCTGTGGTTTATAGCATGCATCTTTAAATTTGTATTACAATGTGTGGCAAAATCTCTCTGTATGTTCAACTCAAAACAAATGTCATTCTGGCCAAATGTATGCCAAATGTATTACAACAGGCTTTAAAGGGTTGCTTTGTTTAAAACCATGTTCTAATCTCTTATATAAACATAGAAAACTTATTTCATTCCAGGCCAGAGATTTTGGATGAGTTATTTAATCAAATATACTTACCTAAGTATAGTCAACTAAGGCCCAATGTACACTGCCATATATTATGGTTTCATAATGCAGTTTAACTGCATTGAACTGCATTATATGGCAGTGTAGAATATAATAATAATAATAATAATAATAATAATTTTTTTGCATTGTGAAACTGCAGTATATGGCAATGTAGGTGGGATCTTAGGGCGCTTCCACACAGCCATATAACCCAGAATATCAAGGCAGATAACCCACAATATCTGCTTTCAATTGGATTATCTGAGTCTGCACTGCCATATAATCCAATTCAATGCAGATTTTATACAGCTGTGTGGAAGGGGTTTTAGGGCCCATCTAGACAGGGCCCAAAATGTGAGAGGTCTTACACTTTTACCGGAGGTGTCCAAATGACGCTTCAGGTAAAAGCGAATTAATTCAGGATAAAGCAGATAAACCCCACTTTGTCCCAAATTAATTAAATACCCTATTAGATTCAGGCCTTTGTGAAAGGCCCAGTTCGAATGCGATATGGCCCCTGTGAGGACAGATTACTGGGACAGCTTTTGCAATCCCAGCAGTCTGTCCCCACAGCCCAGGCGAAACTTCCTGGTGCATCATTGGTATGGTCTAGGACAGTGATGGGCAACCTTTTGAACTTGGTGTGTCAACATTTGCCAAAAACCTGTGCATAACTTGAGTGGGGGTGTCACTTCGAGAAAAAAACCATAATTTTGCTATATTTATAGTTTAAATAAAAAAAATGTATAATCCATGCTAAGTTATGGAGTGAACAATGCTCAAACGTGCAGATGGTAAATTTGTAGAGCCTTTTACAAATTTAAGGATGGAATTAGATTGGTTCCATTTGTACTACTTTGTATGTGGCTGCATGTGTCTGCGTGTCATCAAAAATAGCCATGCGTGTCAGTGCTGACACGCATGTCATAGGTTCACCATCACAGGTCTAGGAAGTCCAGAGAAGCCTAATGGTGGCATGGTAAGGTTTTATTCTCTTTAAAGGCTTTGGGGGCGGGGGGGGGGGGGGTCACCGCATTCCAACAGTTTTGGGGAAAGGTTTGGGGCAAGCACAAGTTTTAGGGGGAGGTATGGAGATTTAAACCTGCTTCAGCACAAGTTCAAATGATGTCTGGAAGTGCCCTTAGTTGATTCCTCCCAATCCTGCTTTACTAGGCAGCAATGCAAATGCTGGGGTCTGTTCTCCTTGTGTTTGAAGCACAATGAACTGATGTTTCCACATCCCTCCCATGAACGATTTATACAAGAGATTGCTCTTGGGAAGAAATATTAGTCAACTGACAAAAGAACAGAGCCCCATTGCTGAAGCAGCTGTTGCCCCTTAAAAGCTGTACTAAAGATTATTCTCCCAGGAACAGCTATTTTACAAACAAAATCAACAGTAATATGCTGTTTGTTACATGGAAGTAAGAGTTCAAAACAAAACTGCATAGCTCAACTAAATATCAATCAAGGTTATCTGGGCCAATCATCAACTCAACACTACATTCAAATTCAATCACATGCCACATAAGAACTCTTATTAGAATAAATATAAGTGTGTGATTTTTTTTAATGTGGATCTCTATGGAAACTCATTTTTCTCTTTTATTTCCAACATAACATTCACAATTTATCCATTTTTTAAAAAGGAAATTCTCACCAAAGCTTTAAAATGAAAGATATTGCTGATAACTTAATTTCCTTGAATATCTGAAGGTACAAGATGATTTCCTCAAGACAGAAGCACTCAGAAACAGTCCACATTACTGAACCTCTGGCAGATTTTTTGTTGTTTGTTAAATTGCTCAGGGCAAATGAGATAACTCCACAGGATCAGAAAGCAATACTGTGATCACGGGAAAGCATAATTGTAACAGCCCTGAATTGCCGTACAGTCAGGCAATTAACTTTTACTACACGTTATAGCCAATGGTGTGAAGCAAAATAAATTTATATGTAGGAAACATCTTCTCTGAATCAAGAATACTATTTTTCAAATAGGTGTTTGTTTTATAGCTCCATTTTTTCACAGCATAAGTTTTAAGGTGGCTTAAAATGATGCAAATGAAAATTCAGCTTACATCTTATTTTACAAAAATCAGTTAAACATATGGTTAAAAACCATTTAAACACATGGTTAAAATAGGTTAAACCAAGCACAGCATGCCACTTTCAAAATACCCTACTGCCATGTGACTTAAGAATGCCTAAATGAAAGGCCCTTGGCTGCCGGAGGAAAGACAGCAGAAAGTGAGCCCACTGGACCTCTTGTGGAAGGCAGTTCCACAGTTTGGGAGCAGATATTGAGGGTCCTTACATACAAGAATGCATACATCGTGCTCATATTGAAAAGGGGGAGCTGTATTACAGACTAGACTGATTGCTTGTGTTTGCTCTGCACAGTAAACACTTTTCATCCTTCAAAGCCTAATAAAGTGCTTTAGAATGTTAAGCCATGCACTGTTTGTTAAGTGGACTTAGACGTGTTGCCCTTCTTAGCATGCAGGATGTTTTATGCTCACAAAAGGAATATGTGTAAATATTGGTAAGCGCGGTAATTGATTTCAGCTGTGCCAACAGGACAACCTGATAAACAGAATGTACTTCTCCGCAATCAATAAATACTACCCTAAACATTACAGGCAAATAGAAACCTGTCCTTATGCCATGCTGGGTTTCAAATAGAGCAAAAAAAATTCTGAGGAAGCCTGCAGAGACAAAAGGCTTCCAGGGACTTGCACATCAGAGATATAATATCTGATCTGGAGAGCAGAAATACCGGATGGATGAAGGATTCCACATACCCATTTGAGCAGAATTGCGGGATTGGATGACTGCTTGCTGTGGGGAATACCGAGCGCAGTTATTCATCTGTGGAGAGGCTGGTGATCCTTGGGGCTGCATGGGAGGGGAAGTGATTGGAACGGCTGGCCTGACAACGGTCACACAGTTTGTAAGAGCCGGGCTTCCTGGGTGAACAACTCCTGAAGAGCCTTTGGCTGTTGGAGAGCCTCCTGATAAATTCCTGGACTGACCAGCGCCTGCAGGAACCCTGGAGAGTGGTTTGGATAGATGGAGAGAAAGTGAATTTTGAAAAAAAAATGTTTTTAATGTATTTGGCATATCAATGAAAATACCAACATAAGGAGATAAATACAAAAAACAATGTATATTGTGACATGAAGCTGAGTGTTAACATGTGGTATAGGCATTCAAGAAATCATAGAACACACTCTTCTAATCAGTTTCCATCCACATTGCTATGTTTCTCCAAAGTTTGGAGGTTTCTACACAGATACCTTTTTGGGACCAGAATTATAGAGAATTCCAAGTTCTGTTGTCTCCCTGCCATGGTGTAATCCCACAACTGTTGTATACATATTTATAAGAGTGATGAGAGATAAATATCTGGTTATCTACTCAGCCATGTTTCCTGTTCCACTCATCTAAAGTTGTATGAGCACACTCATCATTCACAAGCCACTAGATGGAGGAACCTTGGACAAGCACATTTCTTTGCTTTGGTGTAAATATCTCCAAAGATTGCATAAAAATGAGAATGATTGTTGGCATCTACACTGCAAAGTTAGTTTTTGTTATGTGTGGCACCTCAATGTTGTCAGGTAGCTTGATGCTAGTCTGGATCTGTTTGTGGAAGTGTTCCTTGGATGTGGCATTCTTTGAACCTGGAAGGTGCCAAGAGTTTTCAGATGCTAGCACTATGTACCAGGTTTTGGCTGTTGCAGGGAGGTTACTAGGATCTCTGGTGTTTTTTCCTATCAGACTTTATGGAATGTTCTTGCTACTAAGGTATGGGGTAAACAACACACCAATGTTTTCTGGGCCCTGGATAGAAATCTTTTCACCTTTTTTTGATTTGTGACATGAACACATCCATTATGGCTTGCGATCACCTCTTGGTAAAACTGCTTAAGGGACTTGCTTACAGGACGCAGACTGTGTTGGAGGTCATGTAGCTTTAGAATGCTTTGACTATCTAAAATACATTTTTGTAGATTTTACATCAAATCAGAATACAATGTATTGTAGAAGAGAAACAATGGCTGGTACTGTTGGTAATATAAGCAACACCATTTTATTTTATGTCTGAATATTTTACTCACAATTTAATATTATTGCGATATAATTACCCACAAGATATAAATGCAAAACAATCCATTAAAGCAAAAACACATTAAAATAAGAACATAGTAAAATATAACAATCCAGATAAAAGCACAATTAAATAACCATAAGAATATAAAACAGCAGCATTGAAACTCAATCAAAACAATGCTCAACAAACCAATAACCAGAATTACAATGGGTGTGACCAGGCTATAAAAAGAACCACGCATAGGATAGTGCAAGCAGCGTAACATAGGGTTGGGGTGTTGGATGAAGTGCAGATTATCTGTTTTGATAATATGGATTATATGGCAGTGTAGAAGGGACCTTAGAGGTCACATGCACTAAAAAGGAATGCAACTTTTCACTGCTGCTTTTACAAATACATTTTGAAGATTAAGTATGTATCACATAAGTTATTTCTACATTAAAAACAAACATATGGAAATATCTAAAGTGTAAATAACAGAAGAGATGCTTTGAATTTTAAATATATTTTCGTGCTTTCTACATAGGTGATCTCTGATCCCTTAATGCCAAATATCCTAGGCTCTCTCACCTGGAAACAGGAGTAACGTAATTGCCTGGAAAGACACCAGAAGAGCCATTTCTCAAAGATGTCCCTTTGAACCAGCCATCCTGACACTTCTCAATAACACGATACATTTCACCCTTACGCAGTTCCAATTCATCAGTCTTCTGGGGTTTGTATGCATACAACGCCAAGTAGCTGGAGAAAAGAAACATCATACACAGTGAACAGATGTCACTGAAACACACATAATGCCATTAGGTCTAACTAAAGAAACTCTCTTCATCAGAAACAATGGCCAAGAACTTGCATTATGAGATGGAGCTATGAAGATGGAACTCTCTACTTCTGTCAATGCCACCCCACAAAAAACTACTTGTTTTGTTAAGCAGCACAGCAATGCCACTCCACAAAAAACTACTTGTTTTGTTAAGCAACACAGCAATCCAGCCAAAGGGCTTCCAAGGTGCTGTAGATCAGAGTGCTGGGAAATGACTCTAGCAGCACTCTCTCTTGGAGTCCTACTGCAAATGCTTCTCTCAATGATCCCCACAACCAAGGGCTTATGACCCAGCACCATGATCTGCAGTGCTGGAAAGCATTTGCTTAAATTGCTGATAGCTTATATTCCCAAAAGTACTGAATAGAATACCAGTCAGTTTTTTTTTATCCCCAGGTTAGAGATATAACACTAAAACAACTAAAGAAAGACAAAGAGTGCTGATAAAAAATAAGAAAAATACAATGACTCTTTGCGGTCTACATTAAGCAGGACTTCCAAGTCTCAGGGGCAAAAATTAGATTTTAAAGTAGGAAGCTGTGACAGATCTGGGGGGGGGGGTGTCAATTTTCTGCTCTTCTGTGGTCATCTTCTGGGTTTTTTAAATTGGCACAATTTGATATTACACAACACAAGACCCCTGCAACCAATTTTAAAGCAGAATATACTGTCTTCTTGGGCTTTCATAGAAGGAAGCTGCAGAATAGGGATGGATGTATACCAAATTTGCTTAAAAAGAAATTTATTTATGTTGCACTGTATTATCAATATAAATATTTGATCTGTATATCTATGGTATTTTTTATCTGTTTGTTTGTTTTGTTCTGTTAGAAATGTAATACAATGTTCTGGTTGCGGATGACACGATAAATAAATAAATTTGTCTATATAACTAGGGTCACTTAAACTTTTTGGGGTAAAAAGGTGTTACCAGTGGAAATGTTTTGGTCTCAGATGTCATTTCATCATGTACCTTAAGAAATGATGAGCTCATCAAATCATATGCATCTCTATTACACAATACATTTGAAAAACACTGCAGAATTGAGGCCATGTTCTTGGACAATCCTGAGCAGAAGCCTGACATGCATACAGCCTAACCACTTTCAATTGTTTAGTGCTACTAAACTCAGGGTCTGAATCAAGCACTCCTAGCTTAAATGGAAATGGTTATCCAACTCTCCTCCTATGTTGCTGGGGTTTTGCATTGAACTTTCCACCAAAGGAACAGGATTTGTAGCACTAATATGATGGAGAATGATATGTTTAGGAAATAGAAAAAATCATGTAAAGGGCTTCTTTGCAAAGGAAGAAAAGCTGTGAAAGGGTGGAAACAGGTCTACCTTATATATTCGTCACTAAGGAAATTTTAGGGTCTATGGAAACAGAAATTACACAAAATTTGAAAGAACTGGGAATAAAAAATTCAAATACAGATATTTTCAACTTCCAATTTTTAACAGATATGCACATTTTGAGGTCTATAGGGGTCAATAGGCTAGTTTTTGGAATAATGCCTGCCTATCCCTAGTGCTACATTTGGGGTAGATGGGGAACTGAAAACAAATTTGCCTGGGTATATGAAAACCTAAATGCAGCCTCAGGTGGAGAAGGAGCACCAAGTCATCAGTGGTCCTCTCTCACTGTACAGTTATAGCACTATGATTTTACTTTAACTGTTGTGGCTCTATCCTATGGGATCCTGGGATTTGGAGTCTGGTGAAAAACTGGAACACTTTGGCTGAGAATTTAAATGCTCCTGTCTGAGCTACCAATCCCAGGAGTCCATAGGATGTTGTCATGGCAGTTAAATGGTACCACGGTGCCATAACTCTGGAAGAGTGCCAGACATGCCTTGTAACAAATCCAGTGTTGCAGGCAGATTCTTTATACTAATATCAATACTGTGCTCAAGTTGACAGGAGATGAAACATCAATATTTCCAGCTGTATTTAGAAACAAGTGGCTTTTGGACTCTCAAAATCACTTTTGCTTCTTTTGGTCCAAATTTGCAATACAGTATCTAACCTTGATTAAGATTAGGGTAAAAGTGTTGCAGTTTGATTTGTTCATCACTTTAGATTTTGTATGCTTAACCATAATTGCTTATGGGATGGTATTTGCATTCATTCCTGATTCTCAGTTGATGATCAGTGTAATGAGCACTTCAGGCAAAGAACTATTAATTCCTAATATGATAACATATTTTCAATTTTAAAAGAATGTGTTTGTAAATAGCGTTTCAGGATTTTGTGCATACTTGTTTGCTTGAGGGAGAAAGGAGACCGCTATGCTTTGCACCTGTTGTCAAAAACACAGAAATGTCATTGTGTAAAAATTGCCCAGATAAGTTAAATAGCTTTCCGCAGAGTATTATGTTGACAAAGAACTGAGATTAACAGCATTAGCCAGCGATGAAGTCTCTGGACATGATCACTTCTTGTCACCCACTCATGCCAATGCACAGTGATGAACTAATACTATTAAAAAGAACATCGCTCTCACAATTTCAAAGCCACAAGATGACATTTCACAGTATTGTGGGTGGGAACTAGTTAACTGACACAGTTTTAATCTATGATATTCAGCACTAAAAGTTGCCTGCCAGAATTTCCAGCTTTAACTTGGGCCTGAGGGATTCAACTGTGACTGAATTTATAATGCTGAATTCACGGTGCTGTGGTTAATGTCATCTCTGTAGGTCTATTATAAGTCTGAGATACAATTGCTTTGAAGTGAAGCTTGGCTTCCAGGCACTAAGAGCACCAAGGTGCTTATTTCTTCTTTCTCCCACATACATGAAAAGTATTCTATAAGTTGGTCAGGTGAAACATTGCTGGCAACTGACAGCTAAAAGGAAGGAAGCACTTGCCTTAAATTTTAATAAAACACCAAATCAAATGTCTACTATCAAGTGAGCATGTAAACTGATGTTTGCATTACATCTACAAAAGGACACTCCTGTTATCCTATATCAGTGGTTCTCAACCTGTAGGTCCCCAGGAGTTTTGCCCTGCTCCCAGAAATCCCAGCCAGTTTACCAGCTGTTATGATTTCTGGGAATTGAAGTCCAAAACATCTGGGGACCCACAGGTTGCGATCCACTGTCCTATATGATGAGATGTTTCCTCCTCCACCGTTTCAATGTTGCTTTGCTTACCACTACATGTAATCTGCTATAGTCTGCTATTTTGGATGCAACAGTGATTCACAACATATAAGCAACTACTGTTTCCTCCCACTTGGCTCCTACCATTCAAATGAGTAAATGTTCTCCTAGATATTGTTTCATAGGCACAAGAGGCTTCTAGTGATGTCTATCAAATTAAATCTGCTGATTTTAGTAAAAAGAGAGCACAGGTCATTGAATGCCTGGTAGTGAAAGCAGTGATAATGTCAAACTGACTCTGAAGCTGAGACCTCAGACAACCATCCCAAGGCCGTGACTTGTACATTCCTGACAATGAAGAGAGACAGTGATAGGATCGATATATAAATCTGACCTTCAGATAGCAGGCTCAGAACACATCCACACTTGCTTTATATTGTGAAGCCAAAAGAAATAATTAAACTTCAAGCCTGTTGGTGAAGCACATTGACAAATAAGCAAGGTCATTGCCTGGGCTGGGTCCAGATTATACCATCTAAGAACAGTCAAGATCTTTCAATGTGAAAGAAAAGAATGCATTGCTAAGGCATAAAACAGCTCTGGGACTCCAAAATGTGAGAAATGTCCTTAGGGCAAATATTATTCAAAGTTTTAAATATTGACATTTGATTGTTTTGAATTTTTCCAGGGGGAGTGACTGTTAGGTTCATTGTTTTCCTAGCCTGTCTTAAGGACAATGCAGTATTAATAAAATAACCCACTATATGAACCTACAGTTATACATATTACCTTAAAGATCCAACTATGCTCTCTTATTGTATGCCTTCCATTTGTTTCCATTTACTAGCATCCCTGTGGCGATTCTATGATTGGGTTTTTTTGGCAGGATTTACTCAAAGGGGGTTTGCCTTTTCCTTCCTCTGGGGTTGAGAGAGTGTGACATTTTGATTACCATTTTGCAAAGGGAAATGCATCAAGAAGCAAGCAATATGATTTTGAAAATAATTCTTCATTTTGGAAGGCAAATGAAATGAATTCTGCCACGCACAGAGTACTTATTGTTCTTTGAATTATTTTCTTTTTGGTAAAACAATTGACTAAACCCAGACACATATTGGCAAATCTTTGGGGCTGGGCCCAGATTATATCATCTAAGAACAGTCAAGATCTTTCCGTCCATGAAAGGGTTTTGATACAGTAGAGCCCTGCTGTTCATGGATGGGGAAAGATATGCTATTTGCTAATTTCCCCTTGTTCTGCAACTTCCTTTTCCTTTCAAATAACTGCTCCTGAGGGTTTGGAAGTCTCCCCAAAACAGAACAAGAGATTGTGCTGGAGGCTGGGGATGGGTAGGGTGGAATTAGCAAAGATAGCTTTCCTCTGCCAATGCCTGGAGCATCCTGAATCCTTTTGCTGGCAGGGAAAGCTGGATCTAAACCATTATATACCAGGCTCACATTTCAAGTTTGGAGACTGTTTGCTTGGTCTGTTTCAGCAATAAATCTTGTTTGGTATAAAAGCAAATGTACAATATATCCTCTGAGTGTTGATACTTTCCAAGTAGCATTTAATCATCCTATATTATCTTTTACTTAAGCTAAAACACTTATCACATAGTATATATCCTCATTTATCTATACTGTGATACAAACGGAGTTCCACAGACCATGCCTGTTAACAAAGCTAGTCTCAGGTGTTCAATTGTACCAGGGACATTATTTCACAAATGGTTTAATTTACAGAAATAGATTTTCTCTAGCCGATAGGCACCCAGCCTGCCCTACAATGATTCATACAACTGTAATAAATATCCTAGAAGCTATAAATGGACAAAGTAAAAAAGGTGACCTGGTCTTTCATTGCTCATTTATCAGTTCTGACGGAAGGCTGGGCCATGTCCAAGGTTCTGGAAATTACATGTAAAGTGTTCTTTGCAAATAATGCCTGTTCTTTATGACAGCAAAGAAAAAAGGCCAGATGACCCATGGACCATTTCCAGGGCAAATGGATGCTTACATATTGAGAGGTAGCTGGACCTTTGGTGGTGTTCCCTGATCCCCAGTGATTGCACTCATTCTGGGTCCAGCCATGGTTGCAGATCCAGCTAAGGCAGAATCCTAAACAAATAATACAAAAATGGAGCACAATGAATCATACAGCAATGAAAACCTATATAGAACTGGTAAATGTTAAAACTGAATACAACATTTGACTCTCCAGATGTTTGGGGGCCCATTTACATGGCACAATCACCTAAATCTAGGACTAGTCAAGAGCATTGCAGGTTTGGGCCATCCCCAGATTCAGTGGAGCTGCTTACATGCTCTACTTCTGAATTATGGTAGTGGCAGGAGTGGGGTTGGGTGAAACTCGGTTAAGCCCCATTGAATAGTCACCCTTATCTGGGCTATCCTATAGAGTGCTCCTGGATGTTATTGGGTGGTTTTGCTGACATCAGTAAAGGCAACTACACATGCTAGGGGAATTTGTTTATTTATTTACTATATTTATATACCGTCCCTCTCTACCCGGAGGCGACTCGGGGCGACTCAGGGCAGTGAGGAGATTATCCCCACATTTCCACAGGTTGCATGAGCACTGCTGTTGATTCCCCCCCCCCCCCCACACGCACACTTTTCTTTAGGAAGTCTTGTGGGCACCATTGCTGATATCAGCAAAAACGCCCAGTGATGGTCATGAGCACCCCAGATTCATGGCTGGCTGCTATAGTGACAAAGGACAGCTCAGATAAGTTCCATGCCTTTTTCCTGTGTTGTAGAGAGAATAGGGATGGAGGCAATGGTTTCTGTGGACAGTCTGGTTTGAATTAGCATTCCCAACTTCTACTATCATGGGATAAAATCAGATTATCTGGTTTTTACCCGAATTGCGGACTGGAAGTCCTTGCATGATTTCTGGCCATATTTGGAGTTTCTGGTCAGTTTAGATAAGCCGTTGGACTTCTCATTCCAGGAGCCCTAACTATAATGACAGTTTTAATTACAAATATCTGAAGAATCAAAGATGTGCTCTATACTTTTCCCCTTAATCCTACGATCTGCTGTGGCATGATTGCCTAAACAGAAATGCAGCATTTTTGGGATATTAGGTTAATGTCCCAGCCCAGGTCACCCAAATAGTCTGAATGTAACAGAAGGCTACAATTCCCTCTTTCTCTGTCTTTTAAAAAAGAGAACAATTTTAATCTGATTCACTGAAGAATTTCCTCTTATGCTTCCTGGTCACCCTGCCATTATAATCCCTTGTAACTTTTGGAAGTGAACTTAGAAACATACAAGTAAATGAACCAAACATTCTTCTTCCTCCCCCCCCCCTTTTTTTTTTTGGAGTTTCAAGTCTGAATGCTGTTGGAAGTTTTCTGGGCACAAAAGAGAGTTATATTCAGCAGGGAAGGGTTTGGAAGACCCATAGTACTCACCCACCCCCTCCTTTTGGGAGGTTCCAATGAAGTACAGCAATTAACTGAGTGGAATACAGAGGAGCCAATATGCTTCCTAAGCATTTATGTGCTTATACATCATACTGTGCAATTAAACTATAAGACATCAAACAATAAACATTTATTCCTTTTACAATTTAGCAGTATTTTATATTATCCTAAAGTATTTTTTTTCATCTTTATACATCCTAAGAGAATGATTTTGAAACAAGAGAAATCTTGATTATTAACAGTTATGGTTTAGGCTCGGGTATAATAATATATGAATCTTGGCTCTCTACATTCTAAGCCCTCTGAAACAGAGCTGAATTTGATAAATGGCTTCATCTCCCTTCTACATCATTTTTCTTATTACCTCTTTGTGTGATAATAATATCTTACATGTTTGTTAAAAACACAGATTGTAATTTGTTCCAGCATTGGTTCTGCTTGAAGATTACTTTTTATGACCAGCAATGTTGATCTCTTTAGTGAAAAGGAATGAAATAATAATTATCATCAAGGGTTTTTTTTGATTGAAATAGATATTGCTTTCCATTCTAAGCTCACATGGCATGTTCATAACTGCAATAAGATAGGGCGTGTACCTATAACCAGGTAAGTACAAATTTTTTTGAGGGGAATATGTACCTTTTGTTGTAATAGCATCTTCAGGAAAGAAAGTAAAAGGTTTGCCTAAGTACAATAATGATAATTCCAATGACAAGCATACATTTCAATCATACAGATTTAGAAATACTTACAACTATTGAAGAAACCCCATATTCCATCCATTCATCCAAATTTAACCTGTCACCACTGGGTAGAATATGGCTCTATGATTTTAAAACTATTTGAGTTTATAGCATCCTGTATCCATTCAAAAGTGGTGAATTCACTGATTCAGCTATTAAGGGACCTGGTATTAAATATATTTATAAATCCTTTCTGTGCTTTACAAAGTCTTGTGGGATTTCTCAAATCCATGAGTGGAGGCACATTTCATAAGCTGTGAAGTGTGACAAAGTTTTAATGCTTCTTTCTAGCTCACCATTTCCTAATCTTAAAACTTCTATCTGTCATTTACTTAGCTGATGCCAGCACCAAGAACCAGCAGAAGGGCAGTGGGACAGAAGCTGCCTTTGATGTTGAGTTTGGATGTCTAACTTGAACGCAATGTACTTCTGAAGACAATAGAGAGAGAACACAGAATTCTTTAGAGAATATATAGAAAAGAGACAATGGACCTAAAGTAATCTGAAGCCCAATAAAAGAAAAGTAAAGAATAAACACACATCTCCCTCCAAAACAGGGTAGCAAAATAAAATCCTGAGCACGACAGTTAGATTGAAAGGAATTGTTCAATTCTTTGCAGTGGACTAATTCAGACATTTTGTTGGATAGGATTAGTCTTCATGTGCTGGAGAGAAGTGTGTCCCTTTTTCTATCTTGAACATAACAGCTTAAAATCTATTGTTATCCACAACAAGAGAAGAGTCAGTGTGTGAAAAAGCTAGAAGCACAGAGCCTCTATCCACATGGGTGAAAAATTACATATTTATGGAATATACACATTCCTCCATTTCTAAAGTGAAAGCTCCACTTTCAATTTTAGGCTTTAATGCAATTTTAAAAACTTATTTTTACTCTGAAGATTAAAGAAAATTCCCTATCAGGATTGAAGTGGAATTGTGTGTTTGTGTGGTCATGGGAGGTGACAGTTTGGTTACCCTAAGGACCAGAAATCCTGGTCTCACCATTTTGTTTTGCATTCATTTCAATAGTGTACGATTCTGTGCTCACTGGAGTATGTGTGCTAATATATTTTGAATTTTATTGCATGAGTCTTTCACTGGAGCATGGACAGGGTCAAACACTGAGCCTCAATGGGGCAAATGGGGATGTAAAGAAAGCAGGTTCGGACAAGCAGTTTGCAAGTGGAGAAGGAGGAAGGATGAAACGGATCTATCCCTTCTCAATAAGTAAAATAAAATTAAACAAATACTTCCAGCAACTGGAGAGGGAGAGGGAATGTTTTGGCAAGAACATTTAAATTTCCTTGGGGGAAGCAGGATTTGATTGGTGATAAGATTGGGAGAAAATCAAGAAAGGCAATTGGTTGATCTCAATAAAATAGTAAAGAGCAGAGACATCACACTGGCAACAAAGATCCGCCTAGTCAAAGCCATGGTATTCCCTGTAGTAAACTACGGATGTGAGAGCTGGACCTTAGGGAAGGCTGAGCGAAGGAAGATCGATGCTTTTGAACTGTGGTGTTGGAGGAAAGTTCTGAAGAGTGCCTTGGACTGCGAGAAGATCCAACCAATCCATACTTCAGGAAATAAAGCCTGACTGTTCATTGGAGGGAAGGATATTAGAGGCAAAGATGAAGTATTTTGGTCACATAATGAGAAGACAGGAAAGCTTAGAGAAGACAATGATGCTGGGGAAAATAGGAAAAAGGAAGAGGGGCCGACCAAGGGCAAGATGGATGGATGGCATCCTTGAAGTGACTGGGCTGACCTTGAAGGAGCTGGGAGGGGCCGACCAAGGGGCAAGATGGATGGATGGCATCCTTGAAGTGACTGGACTGACCTTGAAGGAGCTGGGGGTGGTGACAGCCGACAGGGAGCTCTGGCGTGGCTGGTCCATGAGGTCACGAAGAGTCGGAGACGACTGAACGAATGAACAACAACAGTTGGTTGATAGGCTTATGTATGCGGGGAAGAAAAAAAAAAGGACAACCACTGTGGCCGTGTGACCTGAAATAATATATACACATGCCAGAAATGCCACTTCATACCAAAATGATTTTGGGGAGGCAGGCTATGTGGCTTTCAAGACCATTTTTTGTTGAAATTTAAATGTCTGAATGTGGCCTAAGCTGGGTCCACTTGGGGCAGAATCACTCTCACTAGGGCTTGAATATATCTCTAGTATGGATTCAGCCAGAGTCAGAAAGGACCATCTATTTCACCCCTTGCATGCAAGCAAATATAACTAAATTGCCCTTGAAAGATGAGCACTTTTTAAAGATGTCCCAAGAAGGAGACTCTACCATCCTTCCAGGCAGTCCATTCCACTATTAAATTGCTCTTAATGTCAGGTATAGTTCCTAATGTTTGCGTACAATATTTTTTTCTTTTTTTGCAATTTGTATTTACACTCTAGCATAGACCTGTTTGCATACAATTCCTCTGTTTGTACAAACCTTTCAGGATCACAACCATGTTATTAAGACCATATTTTCCACTCATCAGATCCTATTTCCTCAAAATAATATCTCTCCCTGCTTGGCTTCTTTCACTTTAACTGGGAAAGATGAAATATATGACCAGATCTTAAAGGGATCTGCAGATTCCGTGGGAAGCCATCAAGAAGGTCCTATCTCTGCCTGGAGAGGTAGTGAAGGATAGAAATACATTTCCTGAAAATCTCAAGCTCTGAGTAGCCTCATATGGAGGGGGATATGCAAAGTTTACAGGAAATCAGATGTGTGTGTGTTCTCAGCCTGTGGTTGCCAGGTCAGTTTCCCATCCCCTGAGATCTGAGGGACAATTCACTGGGAGCTTTTAACCCCAGGTTCCAAGCTGCTGTTGTCAGGTCTCATGAAACAAGAAGGCTTATGTGTGTGTCTATTCAAATCACCTGCTGAATTTTATAGGGTTTTCTCAAGCA